TATGCCAAAAAGTACTTATTAGTGTTATAGGAAGAAACAAGTTGGACTCAATGATTAGCTGTGTTCTACACACTTTCTTTATCAAGTCTGATCTCCCTGTTCTGTCTTCTGCTACACTGCACGTTTTTTCAGATGGTGTTCATCTTCAGTCTGCTAGTGAAATGTGAACAACTGGTAAGTTTTGTCATTTGGTTTTATACAGTGGTTGTATAGAGTGACGTGACATTTAATTGTCCTGTAACTGAACTGGTTTCCAAGCCCATACCTAAACGTGAGGGAAGGGAGAAATCATCAGTGGAGAAAATTAAGGAAGTGATGATGGAAATATCACATTATTTTTTCAGTTACGGTGTAGTGTAATGTTGCTGTTGACAAGGGCATCATAATCTCTTCTGCAAACAATGTTGTCAGGGATTTATAACTCTGAAGATATTTGTCTAGGCCTGAAACTTGGCATCATCCCATTTACCAAAGTCATTGTCGTTGTACATGGACACTTTAAAGACTTGTATGTGTGGTGGGTGTTGATTTTCACAGTAAGTACAGCTATTTGCCCTTCAGACAGGTGACATCTGCTTTGGGTGTGTGCCTAGGCACAAAAAGATTACATGGACTTAAAGCAAAATCACTCTGTATAGAATATACTGAGAAAAAAATAAACATGAAGGAACCTTTAAAAATGAGATTAGCCAACAACCCTGGATTTCTGGTTTTATGACTGTACAAAGAAACCACAATGCCTTTAGTACAATTCCTGGGTAAAACTTGTCTTTTCGGTAATGAGCACTAAATGGCCCAAGAAGGCATTTGCTATGGGCAGCATGTTAACATTTGCCACTCTTCCTGCTGTGAATGAACCTGCTAATTGTCTCAGCTATTTATGAACTGCGTTTAACAGCTACAGCACCAGTCACAAAGAATTAACTGTAATATATTCATATTGAACTATCCTTGTTGGTTTCATAAAACGTTCGTATAAGCTGACCTTTCTGTTGTGGGGATATTGGAGGGTGCGAGCGATACAGATGCAACATATTTCACATAGTCTTTATTGTATAGTTTTCAAAGGCTTCATTGATAAGGGATTTGAGCAGGAAAGCTATCGCAAAAAATGTTTCTGGTTGTGTCATAACAAGATGCACCTATCAGGATGTAAATGTGTTATTTTTAAGATCAGAAAACAGGTAGATAGTTTTGAAATGGGCTCCTGAAGGCAATAATGATATGATAAAGGTGACTCTCCTGATTTCTTATGTGCAGTTAATTGAAAGTCTATTTAGCATTGATTTGATACCTTTCTATAAACATTCTCTCCACAAATAATTGGAAGTACAGAAATGTACATCAACTTTCTTGGTCATCAGCTTGGCTCTGTCCTGTTTTCCAAAGTTTATGATCCCCTTTGCTGTCCCTGTGGAATGGCTTTAAAGCTCACTCAGTGCACATTCAGACTTCTGGCATTTTGCAGTTGCTCTTTTATCTTTACAATAAAACATGTATTTAACAACAATTAAATGTTGAAACAGCTTGCTGGCAGATGGGATAGATTTTCTATCTCCTGAAGTTTTCAAAGTGTCTTTCAAAAATATGTTCATTTTATGGTCTGTGTATAGAGAAGATGGAAGTGTTTTTTCTTGACTTCATAATTTATCCATATTTCTATTGTCCATTTTTTTTAATTCTCTACATTATCCTTCTAATTCCTACCTAAAATTACATTTCATACATAATCTTTGTCATGCCTGCTTGCTTAACCAGCCAAATGCTAAATAGAACTGGTAATAGAAATTACACGACAGAAATGACTTGTGCCTTGAGAACCAGGAGGTCACTTTCTAAAATCACTGTTGGCATGATTGAATACATTGTAGGCCCAAATCTCAGATACTTCATGGGAAGTTGTGCTGTGTCCTGACAGTCAAATAATGAACTCAATATTAGTAGAAAAATGAAGATGTTAACTGGGGCTACTCTTGCATTCTCTGCATTCTTTAACTAAGTCACATGTGTTGCTAAGAAGATCTTGTACTCCAAAGACTGGTCTCAAATATAAAACTGAATTGAATATTTATTTTTTTTTAGTTCATTTAGTTGTTTTGTTTTTGTTTTGTTTTTTCTGGAGTGAGGTAACTAGTTTTGGTGCTTTGTATGGAAATTGAATTGCTGAGATATTAAGCTGTAGAATGTGGTTACTACTCATCTGCATTAAAAAAAAACATTTAAAGAAATTTCATAGGAATTTTTATTATGCACTTATGTCTAGATTTAAATAACCTTTATTAATGCACTCAATTGAACACTAACATACATTTTTAAAATGTCATAAATATGGAGAAAACTTTACTACTGCGGATATGCAATGGCCACCATTTATAAGCTCAGCAAGATTCATATTTGCCCTACAACTGCATCTGAAAAACTGTCTTAATTCCTATTCTGTGTAATATTGTAGTAACTGTTAAGGGCTTATTTATTTGGCTAAAACAGTTTGTTAGATTTCTGTGGTAATCTAGAGTCAAAATTATGTATTTATGGAGTACAGTAATGATTTGTTTTGCTCTTAAAGGACAGAAAACTTTAATTTCTAATAAAAAGCAGTATGAAATGGAGTTGCAAAGATGAGGTTGTTGGGCAGTTCTTATTATCCAGTAACAACCTCTGTCATTGATGGTTTGCAAATTAATCTCTACACCAACAAAACAAGAGGAGATAGAGTGAAAGGGCAGATAAATAGTTTTAAAATTGGTTAGCTCAAATTTCTAAAGAATATTAATAAATCAGTTGATGTTCAGTTGTTGCCTGGTAAGAACAGAGCACCAAGGGTTTGTTATGGGACTGACATTGTTCAATATCTTCCTCGGCAACCTGGATGAGGACACAGCATGTTCCTTTGTGAAATCTCAAGGTGATACACAACTGGAGTGGGGAAGAAGTTGACCTGATGGATTGTAGTGCTGTGGTCTAGAGGGGACCTTCACAAATCTGAGGGCTGGGTTTACAGAGAGTTCATAAAGTTCAGCCAGAACGGCTTTGCAGATGTAAACCATTTGAATCGACTGAAATTTAGAGTCTAATATTTGGTCTCTAAGTTTAAAGGCTGAGAGAGTTTGGGTTGTTCAGCCTGGAGAAGACTCTGGAGAGACCTTACTGTGGCCTTTCAATACTTAAAGGGGGCCTATAAGAAAGAAGGGGACAGACTTTTTATCAGGGTCAGAAGTGACACAACAAGGGGTAATGGTTTTAAACTAGAAGAGAGTAGATTTAGACTAGATGTAAAGAAGAAATTTTTTAAAATGAGGGTACTGAAACACTGGCCCAGGTTGCCCAGAGAGGTGGTAGAAGCCCCATTTCTGGAAACATTCAAGGTAAGGTTGGATGGTGCTCAGAGCAACCTGGTCTAGTTGAAGATGTCCCTGCTCACTGCAGTGGGGTTGTGCTAGATGACCTTTAAAGGTCTCTTCCAATGTAAACCATTATATGATTCTATGATTTGTTATTATTATTTAAATAAATAATGCAGATTTTCACACTAATTTTAGATGCTGTAGTTCAACTCACTCTAAACTCTGTTGCTTGCACTGCATATAGAAGAATTTGGACTATGGGTGGAGCATTGATTTGCCAAGTGTATGATAGATAGCTACACTTGAAATGTGTACCTCAAGTATGGGCTCACTTGACTGTTCCTAGGCTGCCTGTTGGTTACAGGCAAATTATATTTATATGGCTGTACAAGGAAATGGGATCTGTAAATCGGTATTGTATAGAGCAAGGTAGTCTTTCAGTGGACAATAAGCTGTTTCATTGTATCAATACTTTTCAATGGTTTGTTCTCTTCAGAGAGCTTCAAAAAGCTAAATTCCACTTTGCCAGTAGAGTAGGTTCATCTATTATGTGGCCTCAGTAATGTTATCTGGAGGTAAGTCTTACTGAAAGAAAATGTCTTAAAATGTAAAAATGGAGGGATAATGTAGTGTTGTAGGTGTTAGTCTGATATCCATCACTGTGAGAGGTTTAATATCTTTTTCTTCATTGTAATTGATGAGCGAGTCTGATGTTTGAAAAGCCCTACATTGCAGATGCTGATGTGATGGAATAGCTATTGTCAGAGTATGGAGGAAAATGGCACCCCATTGTTGCAGTCTGTTAAAAATGATTTGTTGAAAATTGACTTTGAATGTTTGTACTGGAGGTCAGAGTTCCCTTTAGAGGGCTCATACATCCATAGAAATATCTAGAATTGCCACAGATATGCCTTGTTATTAAAGGAATGATTTTGATATAAATACTTACCTGGCAGTGCTTTTGATTCATTAAAATGGGAAAAAATAAGTGGAGCAAAACAGCTGGGACAATTTCTAAGTAAATTCATCAGTCATTCAGGAGCTATGCATTTAAAATACCTATAAATAATAGAATGCTCCATCTAAATGGAAGCCTTTTATTGATGTGTAAGTACAGTGTCACCCTGAAGTTTCATTTTTAACTTACTATTTCCTTGTGTTTAGAATCAGATCAGGCAAGTTATATTATTTCTATCTTTTCAACTTTATTTTAACAGCATTATTTTGTATGGTATGTGAAATGAAATTGATACACACAGTTGTTAAGCTTTAAAATTACTTTCAGGTAATAAATATTTGTTTTGGAAACACTGTGCCTTCACTCAATTTTTTAATATTATCCTGGGGACTGACAAAATAATAGGATAACTTTTGTGTTTTGCCATTGGCACTTGTAAATTCCCTTTTTACATATTCTTACAATATATTACACTCCTTTAAATATTTTCTTTCCCCTCTGACAGTGTTCATGGGATTGCTGAACCTACTAAAGACAAGATGATGGAAAAAGGGAGAGTGAAATACTGAGAACCCAGTTTTTGCTTTTCGTTACATATGTTTATTTCTCCCAGGTTTACAAAGAATAGATTGTTTATATATACATAAGGAAACAAACATTTAGGGTTTCTTTTAAATTTTGTTTTAATAGATAAAAAGATGGCCTATCACAAAGTGAATGCAGACCAGAGAGCACAGGGGCACTCTCCGTACCTTGACAACGATGAGCTCCAAGCCACAGCGCTGGAACTGGAATGGGACATGGAAAAAGAGCTGGAGGAGCCTGGCTTTGACCATTTCCGACTGGATGGTGCTGTCCAGCATCACCTGGGAAACTCTCAGAGCCCTGACCTCGATCTTGAGCCCATCCAACCTTCATCTTCTCCTAAGGGAAGATTCCAGCGGCTTCAGGAAGATCCCGACTACATCTCGCACTATACGAGACAGGCACCAAAGAGCAACCGCTGGAGTTTTTTTCAGATACTGAAAGTATTTTGCACTGCTTTGACTTTATTTATTTTTGGAATTGTGATAGGATATTATGCACGCAAGAAATGCCCTTCTCCCTCAACATCTCAAGAACCAAATAACCCTCATATCTACCATGAAATTCTCAAGGAAATCAAAGCTGAAAATATTCAGCAGATTTACAGGTATGTATCTTGACATGTTTTTGTCTAAATGCAATCAAGTGCTAATGTTAAGAGTCCTTCTGGTTTGCTTCATGTGGAATGTTAATTACAAACCTTGACTACTTTGTGTTCAATTTTCTCATGATGCTTGGGAAGCTTTCATAAACACATGTGAAACTAGAGTATTTTCGCAATGTGGATTTGCCTTAGTCACTATGGTTTTTGCTTTAATAATATTCTATTGTTAAATATATTAATATTAGCTTTAACATACATGAACTGAAAAATATAGATAGTTCAAAGTGAATAGAAATACAGATGATAGACCAAGTGTCCTAGATCCAGTCAATTGCCAAATAACATTGTTGAAAAGATTTTAGATGATGTTTTGTAGTATTTGGCACTTTAAGAAATCCCCATCTAATCTCAGGCAAATAAGTGAAGGCTGGCTTTTGTTTTTCACTCTATACAGTGAAGTAAACTTTTAGTCTGCTTGGATTTGGGAGGGAATAATTGAACTCTGAAAGACTGATTTTTTTCTTTTTTTTTTTTTTTAGTATCTGTTTTATGAATATAAGATGTTGTAAAATATCTACTGACAGGGTTTGATTTGATTTTTTTTTCCATGTGGAATCTTTTCACTGCTTTGAAAGTTTATATAACACATTAGTATCAGAGTATAATCACTTTTCTGCAGCACTGAATGTGGAAGAAACTAGATTTTCTTGCCAACTTTTGAAAGTTATTTCGATATGAAGGGAGACATGAGCTTATTTCTGGCTTCTGGAACTGCAAGTTGCTTTTTCATAGTAAAGGAAACACCTTGCAGATTTTTTGATTGCTACCTGTTCAGAAGCAGCAGAACTTACATACCTGAAGTTAGAAAGGGCTGTTGTCATTTGTCATTTGTCATTGTTCTTGAGTAAAACAGAAATACATTGAAAGTAACCACAGCAGTCTTCTACCAGAATTAGTCTTTTATTATATTTGCTAAATCAAGCCTAAAATCCTGAAGCCATTAATATCATATTTTTACCCAACACTGTTACTAAATTCAAGGGGGGGAAAAAAGATACGAAGGATTTCATGTCAGTTTTCATGTGCTGAACTGACTCTCCTTTATACAAATCTAATTATTTTCATTATGAGAAAGGGTATAGGTGATAAAAAAATGTTGATTTTGAATGGTAAAAATTAACCTCTTTGTCTTCTCAGAGAAGACAGAACTGAATTGTCATTAGGCTTAGTCATGAACAAAGTATTGGAATAAGCTAAGCCTTCATGATTGAGTATGACGCAAATTACAGCAAATTGTGGATAACTCTGTCAGTCTCAGGATAATACTCCAATTTCTTGTGTTTGGGGACCGAGAATCCCTTGCCAGTTTATTATTTCAGAGGGTGGTTTAAAAACATTGCCTTTAAAACTATTCATCACTTCTCAAACTATTCCAGCTAGCAATTAGGATATTAGTGAGAATCTGGACTTTAAGTCAAATGAATTATGTGGCTACTTTGGAACTTTAAAAACTTATGTAGTTGCTGTCCTTTAATTAACATAATTTTTAGCATTTGGTAATTTTTTTTCTACAAAATAGCATGATTTCAACGAATATAGTCAAGCATTAATTCAGCTACATACTGATTCTCTATATAAATATACAATCAGTGCTTTTAGTATATTGCGTTACCCACAAGATTTTTCTTAAACCAAAGTTTTGATCTGAGACAGCTTTTATCCTGTGTTGTGTTACGCTACTTTCCCTCAACATATGTCTGGCAAGAGTCAGAACTACTGCAATAAAACCTGTGTATATGTATCCCTTTGTTACAAATATAGAAGATGCAATGTATGTGGCTTGGGGGGGGGAAACAAACCTGACAAAATCAATATATGTTATTGTAAGACTTCTTTCAATATAATGTTATTTGTGTTACTAGAACTAAGTGGCAGCTGCTTAACTTGCAATTTCTAAATATTACTGAGAATGACATTAATTTAATTTTCTGAGCTTATGACTTAGATCAGACTCAATAATGTTAAGAGATTTTGCTAACAGGCCTGATAAAGGACTCAAGACAAAAATGTATATAAGACACAGCAGTGCCAGTCATATTACCCAAGCAGACATCACTGTAGTGTGCTTGGAGGTCTGGAGTGGGAACTTCTTACTGGGATGAAATCTACTGCAGTGAAATGAAGCTTTGAGGATTGGGACTCTCTGGGCTTCTCAGAAGGTTGCAGAAGTGCACCAGGGGACTTGTATTGATTTTGTTGGGATATGAACTGGGCTCTATGTGAGATGAATTAAGTGTCTCTATCAATCTTTGTTAGAAATGGAGGAGCAGGTAGGATAGCAGCAGTTTGTTTGAACAGTTTCCCGAAATGGGAGATGCAGATATTCCTGTCCAGCTGCTCTGTTGGAGGCTCTATGTGAGAACTCATGTGCCACTCTTCTGTCAGTCCCGTACTGGCCATCTATATCAACCAGCTCCCTGGTAAGCTTTTTTCCCATAGATTTCTAGACATACTAGAAATCGTTAGGTACGAAAAGTCAGTGTTGACTTTTATTCCTTCAACTTTGCACCTTGCTTTCTGTGAAATGTCAGTGCTACAGAAGTGCTGTGCAGTTTAGCATGGTTGTAATTACTGGCCTTGGCCAATGTGCCCAATTAACGATACAGCCTAAGTAAAGATTATCTCTGTGAGCCTTTTTGAACACCTCCCTCAACCCTCTGTAGGGGAGTACTTACAATGTTGATGATAAAAAGAAGATATCAGTTTACTCCTGATGTTTCAGAGGTTTCAAGTGGACTAAAAATTCTCAGATCTACCTGAAAGGGAGAAAGGAGGCACCACAAAAAACTTTTCCCTTGCCCTACAAACTGCATTTTACATGCTCCCCAAAATTAGAACAAACATTGTTAATAGTTTTCAGTCAGTAAATCTAACATTTTAGGAGTGTGAATACTAAATTTGCTTAGATAAATATTTATAAGAGGAAACAACCCACTCCATAGTATGAGCAGAGTCAGAACTGTTTAAACCAGACATAATTCTGCAAAGATCACTGAGCTGATAGAAATCCAGTGGTTTTATATCTGTTTGTTCTGTGAATATGACTTCTCTTCAGTTTTCTTTTGGAAAATATATGAAAGGCTTTAGTTCAAGTCTGGGATACCTTAGCTCTCACAAGCCTTCAGGGTGAATATGAAAAGGGCATAAATCCCACATCCAAAAGAGACCAGGTAGAAGTTGAGATACGGAATACCTCGGGCACTGTTTAAAATTATATCCAGAACCAGCAAAACTTACCAGGGCAACACAGATGGAAAAAGCTGGTAAAATTTATAGGCTGAAAGTGGGCTATCTCTTGGGACAGCTAGGTTGAGACTCCATGGCAAGACTGAGTTCTCGGAGCCCTTTTAGAGAGAGTGTGTCAAGAGGGTATAGCTGAAGAGTCGTCATCTCCGCTTTGAATCTGCAGTCTTACTCCCTGTGGAATAAGTCTGCAGCTCCAAAAAATGATCGTTAGAATAGGGAAAGGCCTGTTTTCAAGTGATGAATGTGTTTAGATGTGGAAGTCTCTAAAGTTTATAAAAAAATGCTTAATGGCATAAGACGCAGACTTTCAAAAATCCAGAAACACCCACTATCTTTGTCAATCACACTGTTGAATTCTTAAAAGTAAATGAGCCAGTTTTCAATAAAAATTGATATTTTTAAGCTACTTCTTAAAATGGCATTCAGATTTCTAATATCATTTAAGTGCTTTTGAAAATAGTGGGGTTTTCTTTCTCGCTGTATATAAAAAAGGAGATGCTACAGAAGTGTATCCTGTTGAGGTGTATCTGCCAGATGCAGGTTAGCTATCCAGTGGTCATTACCACATAACTGAGTTATTCAGCAGGTTTGTGTTTATAATGACTGGATTGATTTTTTTTTTTTTTTTTTTTTCCTCCCTAATTAAAGGTAAGTTTGCCATTTGTGCTTTGTAGTGTTCCCTGTGCTTCCTGGGTAGTTTTCTTGCTCCACATTCAGGAAGATAAGGGAAAAACTCTGAGATACCTTGGTCTGGAGTTAGAGGGAGCATTGTCACTGACTTTAAGGTTACTGTCACTTAGCTGCCACCAAGATTTTGATCATCATATATATTGCTAACCTTTTATATTTTAGAATGGTAAAATTTGATTTTTATGCAAACTGAACTTTGAGTGTTTTCAGTTAGAGTTTGAGTTGAATGTTATTAACAAAGTCTAAAGGGACAAGGCAACAAAAGCACAAAAAGTAGCTTGTCAAAGACATCTGAAATTATAACTACTGCTATCCAATTTGTCATCTTTCTTCAAGAAAATATATTGTGTTGTAAGTTTAATAGTGCCAAGCATTTCAACAGAGGAAATAAGAAAGGTAATATTTTTATTTTATATGAAATTATTTCAATTTCTTTGTCCCAAAACCAGATAAAAATGAAAGGATCGTAATTTGTTTGGAAAATGTAGGGCTGTTATAATTTTTTACTAAGTTGTAATTTTGGGGTTGACTTCTGTAAATTAAACCAATAATGATTCACATTGAATAGTAAGAAAAATGAACACTTGTGTTGATATCGATGATAACTCTAGCCACACCTTATTTGTCAGATTAGTTAATCTCTTCAAACATTGTTTAAAATTCTTATAGCTTTATTCTACTTTACTCTGTAATTCCTTTCAACAACGATACATCGTGGTTCATATCAGGTTCACAGTCCTCTTGGATATGTTTTTCCATGATTAAGACTGAAGGGCCACAGACAGATGAGTCTTTGCTCTTCATCCCGTCTGTAGAGGAGCTCCTGCGTTTCAGCTCTGCTTTTCAGCTGGTATATTCTCACTCAAGTGCTCTCTTCACTATAATTTTTTCCCCCTTTGAGCAATAGGGAGGTTTAAATCCCTCCGTCATACATCTAGTTGTAACTAACTGTCCTTTGGAGGGATATCTGTTCCTTCTTCCAGCTGGTAACATCACCCGCAGAATCT